ATAATTGTAAGACCTGTGTTCAGGTAGAAAGTGACCCATCATCGCAAAATACACAAAATCTAAGCCATGAGTGARAGAGACTGCAGGGCAGAGAAGATTTGTAGACTCCATTAACTGCCTTAATRCTTTCTGGGGACCCCATATGGAGCACAGACCACCAAGGTCATCCATCATCCCACTCCCACAGCAGATGTGCTCCTTATGGGAATGACTGGGACCAGAGACATTGGCTACACTGCATTTCTCAGCTTCATAAAGCAACCCTGAGCTGATGGAAGGGGCTGACTGGGAGGTGAGCAGGAGCAAACCCTTTCCCAGCTGCATGCCTGCTGTYCTGCAGGTAATGCTGGGTTATCTCACCAACATAAGACCCTCTGTTGTGGAGAAAACTGACCTTAGACCAGGCAGCTCCTTGGTATGGAAAATATTTTATTTCACCTTACCCTGGGTAACACAGTTGTAATTCTCATTGACTTCAGCAGTGTGGCTGCAGACAGGACTTGTCCCCCTCTGATCTTACAGATCACCTAAATATCAGAAAAACACTGCAAATGTGTGGTGCAATGCTGTCTCACCTGCATATTTGACATCTACATTTGACCCTACATATAGGGTCCTTAAGGTAATAAGATACTTCTTTTATATTTTCATGGGGTTTTTTCAGTAAAGTGTTTGATCTCTTTATATGTGTTACACATATTTTACAAACTTCACTAATTACTGGGCCATTAACATATATTTTACTTGTATTTATAGGTAAAGAGGTAAATAGCTGCTTATATGATATGCTTAGCATATAAAGGCTTCCAGAAGATCAAAATAAAAAGAATGCAAAAGGYCCTCCCAGTCCATGCTGACCACACAGAAAAATGTGAGAGGGTGGAAACCCCTTGTATCTTACTCTCCTCTCTTCTCTCCTGGTTACTTTTTTAGTTTTGAGCAAACAAGGCCAACATATTTCAGCCCAGATGGCAGCACGAGGCTGCTCAGCCCTATATTGTATGAACAGGTGTTTCTGGGAGGCACACAAGCAGATGTGCAGCTTTTCCCACTGACCATTGCAAGCAGATGAACTTCTCCCAGTGATGTGAGCACATGCATGCAAAATACCCTTAGGTATATTTATACCATCACAATTAACATCCCTGCTAAGAACAGATGGGAGAGAGTTCTGCAGAATTTTAACAGTGTGTGAAATAAGATTAATGAGGAAAGAGGCCATGTCTCAGGTCCAGACACAGCATCACCAGTATCAGCTTCCACAGGGAAGGAAGTTTACAAAGAATATCTGCCTTTAATGAGCATCACTTTACAAAAAATTGGATCCCATATTCTGCTTGCTGCAGATTGTGCAGGCAGGTTTATCAAGTTCAGGGCCACAACAAATGAAGASGAATTAGCTTAAGAAAAGGCTCTTCTCATTGACTTATATGATCCTACAGGCTTTTTTCTTTAATTACCTTTTGGCACGTAGCAAATATTTAACCCCCAAGGACCCAACCACCGTGCAGCAGAAAGAAGGTGCCCCTCTGGGGAGGCTGCAGCTTTGAACTGGCAGCAATTTAGAGTCTTCACAACAATTATGATCAGAGTGTATCCAACACAAARTACCCTTCAATTTTGAAACAAGGTGCTGCAGAGATTTTTCATTTTAATTGTCTACTGTAAAATTTCTTCCTCATGGGAGATTCCTTGGAAAGTCAGAGTTAGGAAGGATGTGGAAGGACACAGGTCACTCCCAATGTGCCATCACCTACACAGGTACAWGATGAATAGTTTTTCATGACTTGTCAAGTTTTGGTAAATGCAAAACCCCTTTAAAATAGGCCATGTTTCTCCTTTCTTGCTATGGCCCATGTAGAAGTAACTTGGCATCAGTTTTTCTTATACATCAGGATATTAAGGGCAAAGATCTCTGGTTTTCAGAATTTGTTTTATGTTAYACATGTACTAACACTCTTCAGGGCAGAATGGTGCATCAGT